TACTGAAAAGATCTGTCTGTTCAACTATATAAGAGGACTGATCAAAATGGTATCGGGATTAATGCTATAAAAAGAAAACAACAACACATACCATTTCGGTACTTAATTTCCTTCGAAGTACTCCTCTTCATCCAGCGTCATTTCCATTGATGGAAGCATTCTTGGAACTCCTTTTTTGGAGATAACGGACGGCTATATTAGGTTTCCTGGATGTTTTGAAATCTTGTCGCTTTCAAGTTGATTTTGAGTTTTGGAAAGAAGAAAAAGTAGCAAGTTGCGAGTTCTGGAGAATGTGGTGGTTGTCTCGCCTAGGTAATTTTGTTTTTTCCCTAAACCGCGGCATAAGCCATGGTAATTCTCAGGGTGACGTCGTCCCAGGGTACCACAGAGGGATAGAACCTCTGTGATGTACTGAGATGATCTCATTCTACACACTTTTGCTTCCAAACAAAGCAAGCAAGCGAGAATGTTATAAGATAATGTGCCTTCAACCGGGTTTAGGCTCCATCTGTGCTAAGAGACTTCACGTACTTCAGCGTACTTTAACTTTGTTACTACATCAACAGTTCCAATACTTTTTGATCAGACCTCGTATATTGTGTTTTTTTCCAATTTCCGACTGAGGTGTTTTATATCGGAATTAAAATTGTTAATAAACTGTCCAAAGTTCTTTTTATTTCTTGCATTCAAGTATTTTAGACTGTCACAATCATTGTCAAGAATTATGAGTAATCTGTATGTTATCATCATCATGAGATATATCCCGACTTGAAGGCACACTGCAAATCAGCGGAATTTCTAATCGTCAGAATCTTTGTATATATCTCTTACCAGTCATCCATAAACCTTCCTGTCCTTTGCTAACTCACGAAAGTGTTGCAGGTCTTTTAAGCTCTTCAAAGTTTTTACGAGGAATGATGGAAGTTTATTGATAGTTGTGTTAATGCCGTTGTCCAATGTATATACTCAGGTTGTTCGAGGGATTCCATTCACTTAATATTAACTTTTGTGTATTTTACGATTTATACCTTCAGTCTGAATGCATTCATATCCCTTCCTATTTGTCTTGATCTATATAAATTATATTCTAAAATTTTCCAGTGTATATGGATGTAATTTTTCCATCTGGTTTTGATGACAATGCCATATCCATAATATTTACTGTTTTCAAACCTATTAAATTATGCGGTCTAACTCCGATATTAATATCAAGCCCTTTGGTTTTAGTTTCTTGGAGATATCATATATCAGTTTTAAAACTATCAATGCCTCGAGTCAATAATTCTCTCCTTTCTGTAAGCGCAAGGCCATTAACATTAAATTGAGGTATTTATATGTATTTATAAAGTAGCTAATATTTAAATGTTGACAATCTATATGCTAAGCAAGATGTATTTCACTAATGAGTGGCGTTGTTAGTCAGTCAAAAGTGATATCATCTGAAAAGGTCAATCCAAAAAGCATTATCGAATATTTATATGTGCTCTTTGTCATACATATAACAGCAAAATTGTCCAAATTATGTAACAGCATAATTATCCAACCTACAATATCTTTAAAATAACCACTAAACTAATTGAGTTTCTTTTTTTAGAGGTTTTCAGATAAGACGTCTTGGCACCATTTTTCGTAAGAATCACTGAAAAACATCTTCAGCTAAAAAGAAAGCAGGTTAAAATCAAACCGTCTTGTGTCAGACCCACTGCTGAGCAATGATGTGAGGAAAACAATTATCCAGGCTTTCAGTAATGCTAAATTCATACTGTGGTTTCTAGATTTCAAAGTACATTCAGGAAGCATCAAGAGAAGAGTGAATAAGATTTAAAAAGAGGGAATAGTAGAGAGGAAAACTAGATACGGAGGTTACAACAGGAAAAGGGATGATCATTTCAATTTAGAGCTAAAGAATTCAATTAGAAAAGATCCAACACAATCCATAAGACGTTTGCCACGTGAGAGAGGAGTTTAAGCTATGACAGTTCAAAGAGCAGTGAAAAATGATTTAAAAATGAAATTGTACGTGAAACCGGTGAGCGCCTTCTTAGCCCAAGACAGAAAAGGTTGAAGAGGGCAAAGATAATCTTGAATAAGTTGAAAATGATCCTGCAATATATATATATATATATATATATATATATATATATATATATATATATATATATATAACTATGATTAATTAATGATGAACATGTCAGTTTCGTTTAAGATCGATTTCATCACGATGCTTCTGTTCAGCTTGGGGAGTAATTATACTTTGTTATTACTCAAAGTAGAGTCCAAGAGTGCTATTAAAAAATTGGATAATTCCAGTAAAACATCTTTAATCATTTCTAAGATACAGCAGTTCAGATCTTAATCTAAGAATTAGAAAATGTTGCTGTTACACCCAGTATATGATCTTCTATGTAAAAAGATATTTTATCTAATGTTGGGTGTTTCTTTTTATATTAAATGGATTGTAGAATTTTTAAATCTTTCTTTGCAATAGATCCGATATAATATATATACCTGTTAATTTTTTATAATATTATTTTCGTTGCGGTCTGGTTATTCTGTATTTGCACAAATTGCTCCAAATTTTGGCAAATGGCATGTTAACCCACGAGAAACTGTGGTGCCTGTGTAGCCTATGTAAGAATTTAATGATGTTTGTTCACACACATTACCTTCACTGAAACAATACGCCACCCGGCTACCTAATTACAGATACCTAATTAACAGACGAACTCAATTTCTAACTACATAGAACAGGCAAAACTTTACAATCTCCATCAAGAGAAGCAATATAATTACATATAAATCTCAAGGAAATCGAGTATATGTTATAAAATCAAGGAATGTATGAAATTATCACATTAGAAAGAAATAAAATGAAACAAGTTGCTTGTGTTCAGTTTACTCTTCTGTCCCCAGCTATGGGTTAATTAGTGGGACTTGTATCAGTAAAACATGATTATCTCTAAAAATTTCTTCCAATCTAAAAAAAATATTGTCAGGCTTTAAATAATCAGCAACGGGTTGATCAGCCGTAAAAAACAACAAATCAATCAATCATTCCAAGCTTTAGTAGTTCTTCGTATCTTTTTCACTTGACTGAATACAGGCACCAAGTTACTTGAAGCTGTCTAATTGGTGCCTATTCACGGAATAGATTATACTGAATTCCAGGAGAGAAACATTCTACGGCTTCTTAGCCTCACATTTTCACTGACCTTTGGACTGGCTATATCGAGTCAATTGCTACGTCTGCGGTGAAGAAGGTTGGTTCATGGTGTCGTGCCCTCAATCCATCTGGTACATTTATAAATCTACCAGTTGCCCGTATACTCTTGTCATGTATGGTCTGGTGCTACGACTGTGCATCTTAAGATTCTTGACAAAATCCAGAGAAGGATCTGCAATACAATCAATCCTGATCTGACATCTTGTCTCCAGTCACTTTCTCTCCGACATCGTTTCTATGTCTGTCCTAGAAATGTTTTCATGGCAACTAATCTAATCTGCTGTTGCTCAGACGACATGAATTTAAGCGTGCTACTAGATTGAGAACTAGGTCTTGCCGTTTTACTGTTGAACTAAAGTGCAAACGCCACTTCTATTGTAACAGTTTTTCTCGCACTTCCCACCTGTGGAACTAGATCCCAATTTCTTACTTTCCTGATAACTACAAACTTCAAAAATTTAAATGTGACCACAATCGCCATATTCTGTCTTCCTAAACCCTGAACCTTTTTTTGTTCTTTCCTCAAATCTCCCCTCTTTCAATCTTCTCATTCTCAATTTCTTTCATTGTAAACCCTTGCGTTCTAGTGGCATTGCCGACTTGCTTGGGTGTGAAACGATAAAATACAGGGTGCGGCTGGTATCTGAGGACAGATTTTATGGATTAGTAAAAAACTTGCTGAACAAATGAATATAATTATATTTGATTACAAACAAGTAAACATGAAATTTAGCTAACTATTATTTAATTTTATTCAATAAAAAACATCACCAGCATCACTAACTGCCTCTACCCGAGATCGAAATCGGCTGCAACATCTGATTAATTGGTCCTTATTTATATCAGACATTACTCGAACTATTGCAGCTTTACGAGAGTCTTTGGTGTTATGAAGCTGTTTATTAACCTCCTTCTCAACAACGCTCCACACAGTGGATTGAGATCTGGAGAGTTAGGAGGCCAAATGTTGGGTGTGATGTTGTCGTACAAATGGTCAGCCATCCATTCTCATGTTTGTAAAACCTTGTGGGATGGAGCCGAGTCTTGCTGGAATATGTAAGGCCTGCCGTTGCATATGTTGTCAATCCAGGGCTTGACAACTGTTTCTAGAACCTCAATGTAAGCAGCAGCATTTACTGTAAGACCTTGTGGAAAAAAGTATGGTGGCATAACATGTCCTTCATTGCTAAGAAACATCCAATACCATAAATCTTGAAGGAAATTTTGTGCGCATCACTCTTGGTACCTCAGAAGGATCTGAACAAAGCCAGCTGTCATTTCTTCTGTTAACTTTTTTGATCTTGAGCAAAATTTTTCTCATCTGAGAAAAACCAAATCACACCAGCTTCTGAAGGATTTTTAAGTTTGTTTAAAAGCCTTTTGGATCTGTTTAAACGGTTTTCTTTTGTTTTCTCAGACATAAATTGACCTCTCTTCATCAGATAGGACTTTTATCGATTGTCTTCATGATCACTCCTTCTGATTGATTTTTCAGAGACATGCAGCTTTTTGGCAATTGACCTCATTGATTGACCTCGGTTTTCATCAATTGTCTGCTTCACTTCCTGAATAAATTCGGATGTTCTCACTTTATCAGAACGTACAGAATCTCTTTTACGTTTTGATACAGACATTGGGGACCTCTCAGCGTCTTCTAACACTTTTCGTATCTTGTAGATAAATGATCTTGCAACTTTGAGGAAACGTGCAATATCCAAATCGCTATGACCAGCCTTTAATGCCACAATCACAGCATGCATTTTCATTTCATTTGTTA